CTCTTTTTATAAATTTTTTCTTTTAAATTATTTGATATTTATATTTATATATAACTTTATATATATATATATATATAATTCTCGTAGATATTTTTGGCATAAGAAAAGGAAAAAAATAATTTTTTAAATTTTTTTGTAATTAAGTTCATAAATATACTATTTTAACTCAATTTTGTGGATTGAACTTTAATCGAATTAGACTAATCCATATATTCAGCCCTATGTAGACATTATATGAGGTATTTAAATTTAAATGGGATAAGGCATTCCACATAATCCTCCGTTCCAATCTCTTATCACCGCGTTATTCCACATAAAAACACAAGAGGAAGAGAATAGCCACTGGGAAACCGAACGTGTTGAAGCTGATGGGCTTGGCAGTTGGCTCTTCCACATCCCAACCAATATCAGGTTCACACCTGTCCCCGTCAGAGTGCTCATCCCTCCAATGGGCGTCGCGTACACAAGGGTCCTAGGATGACATAGAAGTTGAATGTTATCAGTATAAATCAGGCAATCACAATGGGGAGGGTATACCAAGATCTAACGAATATTTGGTGTATGGTATATGTCATTTTAAACTGAATAAGAACGAATTATTGAAGGATTATATATATATAAAGTGAACTACGGAGCATGACAGGAAAAAAAAAACATGTGATCATATACATAAAGAGAATATATATCCCATCGACTAAAATGTATTATATAAAAATAAAAATAAATTTAAGAAACAATAAGACAATGAGACAACAATATCATTAGCATAACGAATTCAAGAGCACGTATTTAATATTTGAAAAAATATTCCTCGTTAAAAGCAAATAGTTCTTTCTGAAACTAAAATAATGTTGGAATTTAACTGAAAAATGTTGATATTGTTTCTTGGGCAAATTAGCGTGAAATGGCTATCGTATTATCTATTTTAAGTTGTTTTAAAAACTAATTGTAATTTTGGAGGCAAGCAGTGAGTGTCTTAGCGTCACTTTGGATAAGGTTCTATATCTGATTACGCAGCAATTTCTTATCCGTGCATGCATGACTGGTTCGTATCTAGTTATATTATTATTTATTATGACAAAGCAAATAAACTTTGTCCTACTCACAAAAGTGCAGTCTGCCACAAAAAAATAAATGCTACTTGTGTGCTGCTAGTTGCAATATTATTATGCTAATAACAAGGGATAGAAATTAAATTGTTTATGAGGTGGACAAAAAGTGTTTTCTTCTACATTATTTTGATGACTTGGACTCTTGCATTAGCTATTGTTGAGCCGATGGATAGAGTGAAGAGACGGTGTCTATTACACTTTTGATTAATTTGTTCATAACCTTATTGATCCACTTGGATAGAAAGAGAAAGGGTGGATGTGATGTGATTGACTCGTGGAAGAAATTGATGAGGTGGACTTACATGTTGGTTCTTAAATCAGGAAACAAGAATACAAAATCACTAATTATTTTGTATCAACCATGCACAAAACACAGCATCATCAAAGCTGCCCCTACCCTTCTCAAAAGTAATCAAATTGATTTCTCATTCCTTTATAAGAATATAATACAAAAGAGATTATTAGCTCATGCTTTTTCACTCTTTTAGTAGTTATATATATATATATATATATATATATTGACTATTTGACATTATATTTTCCAGTTTACACCTCATATATATTCAACTTCTATAGGTTGCCAAACCCATTCATCAAAAAACTGCTTTATGGCTC